TGGGGTTCCACTGCAGAAGATCTAAACCTGACAGAACCATGGGTTCCAGCGCAGAAGATCTAAACCTGCAGAACCATGGGGTTCTACTGCAGAAGATCTAAACCTGACAGAACCATGGGGTTCTACTGCAGAAGATCTAAACCTGACAGAACCATGGGGTTCTACTGCAGAAGATCTAAACCTGCAGAACCATGGGGTTCCACTGCAGAAGATCTAAACCTGACAGAACCATGAGGTTCTACTGCAGAAGATCTAAACCTGCAGAACCATGGGGTTCCACTGCAGAAGATCTAAACCTGACAGAACCATGGGGTTCTACTGCAGAAGATCTAAACCTGCAGAACCATGAGGTTCTACTGCAGAAGATCTAAACCTGACAGAACCATGGGGTTCTACTGCAGAAGATCTAAACCTGACAGAACCATGAGGTTCTACTGCAAAAGATCTAAACCTGCAGAACCATGGGGTTCTACTGCAGAAGATCTAAACCTGACAGAACCATTAGGTTCTACTGCAGAAGATCTAAACCTGCAGAACCATGGGGTTCTACTGTAGAAGATCTAAACCTGACAGAACCATGAGGTTCTACTGCAGAAGATCTAAACCTGACAGAACCATGGGGTTCTACTGCAGAAGATCTAAACCTGCAGAACCATGGGGTTCTACTGCAGAAGATCTAAACCTGACAGAACCATGAGGTTCTACTGCAAAAGATCTAAACCTGCAGAACCATGGGGTTCTACTGCAAAAGATCTAAACCTGCAGAACCATGAGGTTCTACTGCAAAATATCTAAACCTGCAGAACCATGGGGTTCCACTGCAGAAGATCTAAACCTGACAGAACCATGGGGTTCCACTGCAGAAGATCTAAACCTGACAGAACCATGGGTTCCAGCGCAGAAGATCTAAACCTGCAGAACCATGGGGTTCTACTGCAGAAGATCTAAACCTGACAGAACCATGGGGTTCTACTGCAGAAGATCTAAACCTGACATAACCATGGGGTTCTACTGCAGAAGATCTAAACCTGCAGAACCATGGGGTTCTACTGCAGAAGATCTAAACCTGACAGAACCATTAGGTTCTACTGCAGAAGATCTAAACCTGCAGAACCATGGGGTTCTACTGCAGAAGATCTAAACCTGCAGAACCATGGGGTTCTACTGCAGAAGATCTAAACCTGACAGAACCATGGGGTTCTACTGCAGAAGATCTAAACCTGACAGAACCATGAGGTTCTACTGCAGAAGATCTAAACCTGACAGAACCATGGGGTTCTACTGCAGAAGATCTAAACCTGACAGAACCATGAGGTTCTACTGCAAAAGATCTAAACCTGTAGAACCACGGGGTTCTACTGCAGAAGATCTAAACCTGACAGAACCATTAGGTTCTACTGCAGAAGATCTAAACCTGCAGAACCATGGGGTTCTACTGCAGAAGATCTAAACCTGACAGAACCATGAGGTTCTACTGCAGAAGATCTAAACCTGACAGAACCATGGGGTTCTACTGCAGAAGATCTAAACCTGACAGAACCATGGGGTTCTACTGCAGAAGATCTAAACAGACAGAACCATGGGGTTCCACTGCAGAAGATCTAAACCTGACAGAACCATGGGTTCCAGCGCAGAAGATCTAAACCTGCAGAACCATGGGGTTCTACTGCAGAAGATCTAAACCTGACAGAACCATGGGGTTCTACTGCAGAAGATCTAAACCTGACAGAACCATGGGGTTCTACTGCAGAAGATCTAAACCTGCAGAACCATGGGGTTCCACTGCAGAAGATCTAAACCTGACAGAACCATGAGGTTCTACTGCAGAAGATCTAAACCTGCAGAACCATGGGGTTCCACTGCAGAAGATCTAAACCTGACAGAACCATGGGGTTCTACTGCAGAAGATCTAAACCTGCAGAACCATGAGGTTCTACTGCAGAAGATCTAAACCTGACAGAACCATGGGGTTCTACTGCAGAAGATCTAAACCTGACAGAACCATGAGGTTCTACTGCAAAAGATCTAAACCTGCAGAACCATGGGGTTCTACTGCAGAAGATCTAAACCTGACAGAACCATTAGGTTCTACTGCAGAAGATCTAAACCTGCAGAACCATGGGGTTCTACTGTAGAAGATCTAAACCTGACAGAACCATGAGGTTCTACTGCAGAAGATCTAAACCTGACAGAACCATGGGGTTCTACTGCAGAAGATCTAAACCTGCAGAACCATGGGGTTCTACTGCAGAAGATCTAAACCTGACAGAACCATGAGGTTCTACTGCAAAAGATCTAAACCTGCAGAACCATGGGGTTCTACTGCAAAAGATCTAAACCTGCAGAACCATGGGGTTCCACTGCAGAAGATCTAAACCTGACAGAACCATGGGTTCCAGCGCAGAAGATCTAAACCTGCAGAACCATGGGGTTCTACTGCAGAAGATCTAAACCTGACAGAACCATGGGGTTCTACTGCAGAAGATCTAAACCTGACATAACCATGGGGTTCTACTGCAGAAGATCTAAACCTGCAGAACCATGGGGTTCTACTGCAGAAGATCTAAACCTGACAGAGCCATGGGGTTCTACTGCAGAAGATCTAAACCTGCAGAACCATGGGGTTCTACTGCAGAAGATCTAAACCTGACAGAACCATGGGTTCCAGCGCAGAAGATCTAAACCTGACATAACCATGGGGTTCTACTGCAGAAGATCTAAACCTGCAGAACCATGGGGTTCTACTGCAGAAGATCTAAACCTGACAGAACCATGAGGTTCTACTGCAAAAGATCTAAACCTGCAGAACCATGAGGTTCTACTGCAAAATATCTAAACCTGCAGAACCATGGGGTTCCACTGCAGAAGATCTAAACCTGACAGAACCATGGGGTTCCACTGCAGAAGATCTAAACCTGACAGAACCATGGGTTCCAGCGCAGAAGATCTAAACCTGCAGAACCATGGGGTTCTACTGCAGAAGATCTAAACCTGACAGAACCATGGGGTTCTACTGCAGAAGATCTAAACCTGACATAACCATGGGGTTCTACTGCAGAAGATCTAAACCTGCAGAACCATGGGGTTCTACTGCAGAAGATCTAAACCTGACAGAGCCATGGGGTTCTACTGCAGAAGATCTAAACCTGCAGAACCATGGGGTTCTACTGCAGAAGATCTAAACCTGACAGAACCATGGGTTCCAGCGCAGAAGATCTAAACCTGACATAACCATGGGGTTCTACTGCAGAAGATCTAAACCTGCAGAACCATGGGGTTCTACTGCAGAAGATCTAAACCTGACAGAACCATGGGGTTCTACTGCAGAAGATCTAAACCTGACAGAACCATGGGGTTCTACTGCAGAAGATCTAAACCTGACAGAACCATGGGGTTCTACTTCAGAAGATCTAAACCTGCAGAACCATGGGGTTCTACTGCAGAAGATCTAAACCTGACAGAACCATGGGGTTCTACTGCAGAAGATCTAAACCTGACAGAACCATGGGGTTCTACTGCAGAAGATCTAAACCTGCAGAACCATGGGGTTCTACTGCAGAAGATCTAAACCTGACAGAACCATGGGGTTCTACTGCAGAAGATCTAAACCTGACATAACCATGGGGTTCTACTGCAGAAGATCTAAACCTGCAGAACCATGGGGTTCTACTGCAGAAGATGTAAACCTGACAGAACCATGGGGTTCTACTGCAGAAGATGTAAACCTGACAGAACCATGGGGTTCTACTGCAGAAGATCTAAACCTGCAGAACCATGGGGTTCTACTGCAGAAGATCTAAACCTGACAGAACCATGGGGTTCTACTTCAGAAGATCTAAACCTGCAGAACCATGGGGTTCTACTGCAGAAGATCTAAACCTGACAGAACCATTAGGTTCTACTGCAGAAGATCTAAACCTGACAGAACCATGGGGTTCTACTGCAGAAGATCTAAACCTGACAGAACCATGAGGTTCCAGCGCAAAAGATCTAAACCTGACAGAACCATGGGGTTCTACTGCAGAAGATCTAAACCTGACAGAACCATGAGGTTCTACTGCAGAAGATCTAAACCTGACAGAACCATGGGGTTCTACTGCAGAAGATCTAAACCTGACAGAACCATGAGGTTCTACTGCAAAAGATCTAAACCTGCAGAACCATGGGGTTCTACTGCAGAAGATCTAAACCTGACAGAACCATTAGGTTCTACTGCAGAAGATCTAAACCTGCAGAACCATGGGGTTCTACTGCAGAAGATCTAAACCTGACAGAACCATGAGGTTCTACTGCAGAAGATCTAAACCTGACAGAACCATGGGGTTCTACTGCAGAAGATCTAAACCTGACAGAACCATGGGGTTCCACTGCAGAAGATCTAAACCTGACAGAACCATGGGTTCCAGCGCAGAAGATCTAAACCTGCAGAACCATGGGGTTCTACTGCAGAAGATCTAAACCTGACAGAACCATGGGGTTCTACTGCAGAAGATCTAAACCTGACAGAACCATGGGGTTCTACTGCAGAAGATCTAAACCTGCAGAACCATGGGGTTCCACTGCAGAAGATCTAAACCTGACAGAACCATGGGGTTCTACTGCAGAAGATCTAAACCTGACAGAACCATTAGGTTCTACTGCAGAAGATCTAAACCTGCAGAACCATGGGGTTCCACTGCAGAAGATCTAAACCTGACTTTTTTCTGGAAAGAATGTGACTGTTCAGAAAACTGCAGGATCTCCATCCCAGGAAAACAGAACCGCTCATGTCTCTCAGTAAAAACAAAGAATTAAGCTGTTATCAAACACATGAAAGCAAATCTGACCAACAATAGTTTAATGTTTCCATGAACGATCTAGAAAGACTGTAAATGTTTAAATAACTTTGATAATTGATGGTTTATCCTGATCCAGGGCTGCTGCCCTTCAGTCCAGGACTTCTGCAGGAACACTGCGGTCCAATGCTCAGACTAAAGCCACCTTCACTGCAGATCACTTACCTGCAGACACGCCGAGCATCAGATCCACGACACAATCCCGGAAATGACGCTTCTGGTTATTTAGAATCAGTCCGCCGGTTCTGTTCGATCCAACAAGAAACAGTCTGACACCGAAAAGCGACCAATGTCGTAGCAGCGCGCGCCCTCGGCCTGGTTTCCTGTGGTCTTTTTTCACCTGCAGGGTTCAGTTCTGCTGCTCACGCGCCCAGGTGAGAACAGAGGTTGGACTGAAGAGAGCCGCTGCCGCTGCTGCTGCGGTGGAGAGAAGAGGTGGAGCCGCTCGGAGAGAGAGCTGCTGAATCATCCTCAGTCACCAACAACTCCCGTTTCTCTGTCATCGAACCCCGATAATCACCGGAACCAACCCGGAACCACCGCAGAACTCCCAATAAACCAAACCTGATTCACAGCTTGGCCCAGAACCGAACCGGACCAGGAAAGTGGTCCTCACTCTGAGGCCAAGACAGGAGCACAGACACACACAGCAAGTCTGACGTCACCTTCCGGTGGTAAACGTTAGACACAGAGAGGTATGGCAGGCCGTTTGGACATTTATTGAAAGCTTTTTTAAAAATCTCTAAAATAAGATCCTTCCTGGTCAAGAATACATTCCTACTTGTCAGAACTGTGAAAATGGATGTCATGGATTACATTTCTGCCAGCAAAAAAATACATTGCAAGATGCAGAAAATATAACTGTTCGAATAAACTTTCAGATACCTAGAAATCTTTAAACAATTGTGTCAGTTTTGACATTTATTAACTTGAATGAATGTATATTTCAGATGTCAAATGCATTTCTTACTAGTCAAAATAAACATTTCAGACAATTAAAATAACATTCTTCCATCTTAAATAAAAAAAATATAGAATTCTTACTAGTACAAATTGTATCATGTTTCCCAATCCTGTGTATTGGGCCTTTACTTCAGATATTAAATATATCTAATAATAGAATAGAATAGAATTGAATTGAAAATTAATTTCAGACTGAAAGCTCTGGCTTTGGGCAAGACACTTCACCTGCGGGGAGGGGAGTGTGAGGGGATGAGCAGCTGGGATCTCGAGAGAGCTGTGTGCATAATTATAATAAAGCAATTTATATGAATGAAACAAGCAGAACATTTGAACCCCATTTACACTACCCTTGAAAAACCGATCAATGCTGAGAGCGGTCCGAGCTCGGATCAGTTAACCAGGCCGAGCTCAGTTCTGATGACCGTTTACACATCATGCTATCTCGGTTCCTCCGCCTCCTAGTGACAATCTGCAGTATTACTGCCAGTATTGAAGGAGGAAATCAAGCAGTTGGTGGTGGTAATGCACCAAAAGTTGTTTGCCAACCACCATTAAAACACAAGAAGAAGAAGACGAAGAAGGAGGGAATCAAGCAAATCAAAATGGTCGCCCGTCACATTAAGAAAGTTATGCTTGATTATTATTTCTGTACTTCGGTGTTATTATTAGGGGGGCCACATGCCGAAGGCATGGCCCACCTATTACTATTGCACATATTTATTCCGCGTATTATTAGGGGGGCCACATGCCCAATGGTGCGATGCGTGCTTGTATAAAACTTTCTCATTAGTCCGAAGGTTCGCGAATTATTAGCGAAAACGTCGCAAAAAAAATCCCATAGGAAATGAATGGGGAGAGGAAAAAAAAGCATAAAAAAACAGCACTTCACTGTGTCGGCATACATTCATGTAGAAAAACAGTTTAAAGCTCAGTTTGTAGATAAATCCTTCGTCTATTTAAAACTGAAGACGGTATGTTGATAACTGCTACGGTTTTTGTATAATCAGGGCCTCAAGCGTCACAAAGTTTTAGCAAAATCCACCCTTCTAGAGTGGAGAGACTGAAAAGCTAGAGTGTGAGGCAGCCGTTTTTTTTAAGACCAAAAATACATTTTAAACTCGCCCTCACGGCCACATTTTATAGCTAGAGTCACCATTTTTTTGGTCAGTTTGTAGACTGAAATCTCTGGACCCACACAATGTCTTCGGAATTACGGTAGGATTAATACTTTTCCTTAAAAACCCTCCAGACCGACCTAAAGTCGATCAAAATCAAGCCCTTTTTCAATTTTTGGGCATTGGGGAAAACGAATGACATTTGTGAAAAAAAAGAA